AATTGGAATAAGCATAAAATATACTCCACAAACGCAGTGTCGCCATTTTTTTGCCATTGGTCCAGACGGTTCAACTGTTAGTCCCACTGGGGCATTCTACTGCGACCTACATTTAAACCAAGTGGAGTAAGCGCTTGGGGTAACAGTTGAACCCTTGCAGTTACTCCCGCAGTTAGTCCAAAATTGGTTCAAAATCTGTGGCAGCGCATTTAGACCCGTAAAGGACCAATGGCATACCCCACTTTAGTCATTTTTGGCTTAGAGTGTACGTCCCAACTGACGTGCAGAAAGCACATATTCGGCACATTTCACGGATGATATCGAACAATTTGACATTTCTACCAGAACAACGATCGCAGGCGTCGTTCTCTAAGGTCGTCAGCTCCCACCGCGTTTTGCTACCATCAGGTTTTACACCCTTGGCATGTTCACCGTCCGCCTTGTGGAGCCTACGACAACCCGACGTGCGCCTTTCCGTCCCAGGAATAAGAAATAGAAAAGTCCTTTCTGCCTTGGCTTTAAGCAAGCGACTCTGGACTGTTTGAACACTTTCTACGCTGACAGAATCCACGTATACACGGATGAATCTACCACCAAGACTAGCTCCACTGGCGCCACCGTCATTCCATCGCGACAAATCAACATCACTTACAAACTTTGTCACGTGAGCATATCGACTGGTTCGGAAATTATTGCCCTGCGAGGTGCCATCGATTATATCAAGCAACAACCGGCTAATCGATGGGCAGTATTCTGTGACTCCAAGGCGGCTCTACAATGTCTTTCGTAGGCACTTCGTCGTGGGTCGTACGAACAACTGGCATGGGAAATCAGAGAAATGCTGCACTATGCGACCAAACAAGCACACAAAGTTGTGTTCCAGTGGATACGAAGTCATTACGGTATCTCCGGCAACGACCTCGCCGATGAAGCAGCCAGAAATGCACACGTGCAAACAAACCCTGTGTCCGTACCTTTATCTAGGATTGACTCGGCTAGATACCTAAGTAAGCTGGTGCAGGACATGACACTCCAGAAGTGGCAGTCATCACAGTTCGCACATCATCGACTATATTCTCTCGATCCATCTCTACGACTGCGGCTACCCTCTGGTCTTTCTAGGAAGGAAGGTGCAGTGTTGTGCCGTCTGCATCTGGGCGTAGCCTTCACTAATGCCTACTCATTTAAGATAAGGATGGCCGACAGCGCAGAGTGCAACGACTGCGCCGTCGATGAGACTATTGAACACTGCCCGGCATACAGAAACGAGAGGCTTCACCTGCGCAGTGTTTTAAATCAACTGGACAGAAGTGGTTTCACTGTCGAGAAAGTATTGGGACCATGGCACTGCCCATGCAATTTCCGAAAGGCAACGAAAGCACTGTTGCATTTCCTCAAAGACACCGGCCTGTTTCATCGTTTGTGATTGTAATACTCCTACGCGTCGGCCCAGTCAGTGAACTTTTCTCTCCTCCTCTATAACGTTCCTTTTCCCCTCCCCTTCCCCTGTGCAGGGTAGCCTACCGGGGCTCAGCCCTGTTTCAACCTCCCTGCCTTTCTCCTTGTGTTTTCTCTCTCTCTCAGATGTGCGTAGTCATTCGTTTCACTAACCTAATTTAACTATTATGAGGCAGGAGCTGTTGCTATTTCATGTGATAGATAACAATTTTTATGTACGATTAACCCAATTACAATATTTGATGCTGGCTATTAGGTCACGTAAATGTTTCAAGTGTACTCACTTCACTAATTAAACTAATTACTTTACGCAGATATTATAACTGCTTCTTGTTCATTAGTGGTCGTGACTAATGTCTTGTTTGTATGTTTATATTATTTGTAAATTAGATTCTACTGTAGGCACTGGCTTCACAAACCTCCTCCTGCGCAAAACTACATTTCAAGTAATCGTGAACAAAATATCTGTGAGCACGGTGCTGGGCCCAAATTGCATGCGGCACGTGTTTATTCCAAATCTTATAAGCAAGGCATTCTATGAAACAATGCACAGTGGTTAACCATTGAGTGCGAGAAAATATTCCTTGTCGCCTTAATGAATTGCACAAAACAGTTCAAGACTCCGTGTTGGATATTTATGCTTAAACGAAAAGAACTACACTATTACGCTCATACCATATTTAAAAAAAAGCGCTCACTGGTTCAATTGCGATATCAATGTTATGCACAGAAGGATACTATTTATTTGATCGTACCTCTGTTTAACTTGGTGTAGATCTCACATCTGGCTTCAACGTCGAAGCAGTTTGATGAGCAGCCGGTTTCTTCGATCACGCTAACTTACCTACATTGCAGAAGTGCGTCTGGACTCTGGAGAGAATTTATTATATAACTACATATTTGAGGCACACTTATTCTTTCATTTTATTTTCACTTTTTTGTTAGCAGTCTTCTCTTTTTTTTTCAGGTCAACAATGAAATTTGTGTGTGAATGTGCACGTATTAATAACAACAGCAAAAAACGACAACAAAGAATGTGTGTTTCCAGTAGCACACGCATGTTACGAATATATTGAGATGGTTAGTATCGATATTATGATACTGTTCATGTGTTTAACTATAGCGAACGCATTAGGAACAATCCCCTTCCTGTTTTCTTTGAAGCAGAGGAGCATAAACCGCTCAGATCTATCAATTTATGTCAAGTCATATGTGCCTCAAAACCAGGGGTGTTCAAACGGTTAAATTTGGAACCGATTAGAATAGTAATCATACCGAATTGTATACTGTTGGAATAGTTTTCGAAAAGCTAGGCAAACATTTAGAAGACAAGCCGAGAATTCTAAAACTTTTTCTTCAAACGAATATTCGAAAATTTTCACTGAACACAGTAACATCACCCTAACTTATAACCGACCAAAGATACCACAATCATGTACTGTCAAGCTTGTATGCAAGAAAGACTAGACCTCTCGAGACACTTTCCAAGTGCATTGTGAACATAGGAGTATTGGAGTTCGTATTTCATCACCAGTTTTAAATTATTATAAGACCTACACGTTCGGCAATGTTTCATAAATGAACAGATTGAATCTCAGAATGATGATAGTGCATTCAGTACGCATTCACATTGGTGACATCGGAGTTAAAAAGCGAAAATGCTTTTATCCGGTGATGAGTAAAGCTTCGATAGTCCCATAAGAGCATCAACCACATGCATCATGTCAATTTACTAGCTATTACAAAAAAAAAGCATCCTTCGCTATAATTCAACGTGTTGCTCCTTTGGGTTTATCTTGTCCGTCTTCATTATTACAAAAGCATTTGTAAATATATTTCACACATTGAATATGCTCGCCTTAGATTCAAGTACTGAACACAATAGAATGGTTTCCGATCAGTTATTCGAAATTTACGAATATTCGCACGCCCCCACTTCAAACATTATACGACGTTACACCAGCCTTTCCTTATATGATCAAGTGATAAGTGGAACTTCCGCTGCCCCTTTTTAAGGACGTTAGCCTTTCTTGGGGATCACCGACGCAAAAATTTGGTCTGTCTGTCTGTACATTTCTCTGTTTGTCCATCCTTAACGGTACCCTAAACGACATTAAAGTGACCAAACGATACTGCAAACCGCCGACCCCATCCGCAACGCCCACCAATAATGCTCAAGGTACAGCGTTCATTCTTGTGCTATTGTCAATTAAAAAGCAATTATTGTGCATATCTGAGGCACCACAACAATACGTCAATATTATGTATGTGTATTTTTCTAGAAAAGGCATACATAAGTAATTTTAAGGATCGTAGCCTTCATAACGCTGCGCTGGCCATGCAACGCTTGCACGAAACGGTGTTTCCAACGTTTTGCTAAAACGACACGGTGGTGGCACCTACCCGTCGCCTTGCGTTCTGCACCTTATCACCTCAGAGACTGGCGCGCTCGGCCGCGTGCCTCTTTTTCCAGGATAACTACCAGATAGCGCTCATGTCTCACGTGTGACGTGACTTGATGCGCTCGTTCACCTCCGCTGCACACTCGATGCACTTTAACGCAGCGCCTTCAGAATACCATTCACCAATTTTCTTGCGCAGAACATCAAATAAACGTTATGTTCACAGACGCAAGACTATCGTCTTTAGACGACATTTGCGGTGTAACATGCAGACACGGGGCCAATTTTTTTTTACAGATATATGGGGTAAATAGAAACCTTGGTCAATGAACGTTCTGAATTATGAACATCTTCTGTAGTATGCAGCTTCTGAATAGCATTAAAAATTGCGACATACTTTGCAAGGGGCACGCGTTTCCTTCTTGCATTACTTGCATGTTGCGTACGCACTGCGTTCGATGCCCACAATAACTAGATCACGGCAAGTTAAGCCGTGAATTCATCATACATGAGGTGGTCAAAATTTCCGGAGCCCTCCACTACGGCGTCTCTCATAATCATATGGTGGTTTTGGGACGTTAAACCCCACATATCAATCAATCAATTCATCATACATGCGAGGTCATACGCACACGGAACTGCGCCGAAGCGGGTTTGTCAAGTCCTCGAAATTAGGTTTCGAATATTGGCTGCAATCGATTTAGACCGCTGGAGAAGGCAATTCCCGGATATTTGGCATTTGTGGTTATTTCTCACGGATGTCTATAGAGGAATCATCATAATTACCAGCTCATCACCGCATCATATGCGCCGTCGGTTCTCTGCTCGAGTGAAGAAAAGCGGTTACTGTCATATGCAAGGTTTTAATGTGTCTACTTCTGGCACATGCACGGAGAAGGTTATTTCAACGACTAAGCCAAATATTGAGAATAAAATTATTTAGGTTTAATATATTGTTACATCATCGATACATACTTCAAAAGCTCCGGGATGAGATATAGGAAGTACACATTATGGGTAGAGGTCCAACAACTATTTTCAATGTCACGAGATGAGCCTGGACAACATGCTCCATGTTTCTTTCTATTTGACTGTATAGATAAACGCATAATATAGACAGTGGACATATAGACCGGGATGTTCGTCATACGAGGAGGTTTTAATTGTGATCCAGTGAACATCCGCATCTCATACACACTTTCAAATGCACCAGATTCATCGGGGAGACAGCATTTATTCGTGTCTTGGAACATCGGGAGCAGGAACGTTCACTCGAAGCGTATACAGCGTTATGTCCAAGCAAGTATTGTGAGAGTCGAACACGACGAGAAGAAATCAGTTGTTCGGTACGATTGCTTACGACTTATTTTTTGTTCTCTCGTGCAGCCTTAAACGGTACACAAACATGTTTAGTTAGCATACAGTGAGTCGTTTCGTCTTCGTATTATTGTGCCGCATCCTGCGGTGGAAACAACACCTGTTGTCAGAAAGACTGGAAAACACAGAGTTTTTTTTTTTTACGACGGCGGTGCCACTTTTCGTAACAATATGTACAACCTAACTTTCTTCAACACATAGTGTAGACACGATAGACAACAATGCTTTATACAGTACACGCTATACATAAGAATGAATCGCGATACTGGAGACGCAGAAAGAGCGGGGTGGCAGGCAAAAGAAAAAAGAAAACTAAAGTGAGCAGGAACAATAATACCGAGCGATTGATAAAAAATTGTCGTTTACAATATTTTTTTTCCTCTTTTATCGGCGACCACGTACTTTCGAGTACGTGCTTTTGGTTCCTCTCTACACTAAAGCTCAAGGGAAAGCTTCATCACTCTGAAAGCTTGGAAAAAAGGAAGTGCTGGAGTGAGTTAGGGATTCACTGTATAGGTAACACATTGCCGAGAGCCAGCCTGTGCGTGAATATAAGCTTCGCGTTGTCGAGAAGATTGCACAGCGCCTCTTCATGTTATATGTACACCTTTACAAACAAAGACATTTAAAAAAATCACAGCAGACTTCTTTTTCTTACGTGTCAACATGGCTCTTTTGTGCGTGAGTTTTCTGTTCGCATGGCAATGTTTACGACCAGCCGCATTATTGCACTCGTTGCAGGGCGAAACGAAAATGCCGGAAGGTTGGGGTTGCTGAATGGACCTCTCTCTCCTGCTTATAGGCAAGCGTGCTTAACCGCGTCATTTCACGATCGCTGGGAACACGTATCCTTTTGTGAAGCCGGACATAGTCACTCCCGGCACAAACGTATATATACTGGTCTAGATACAACGTGTGCTGGACCAATGTGCTTATTACCATACTTCTCGCATACTATTCGTCACAGCTCAAGAAATTGCTTCTCAGACAAGATGAACTTTTTTTTTCTTTTCTCTCTGGTAGCAAAGTCAAGTGTATGTGTAGCCGGCGACCCGCAACGCGCAATCTTGTCTGGCTCCGGCATCATCAAAGACAGGAGTTCGCCATGTCGGAGTCACGCACCTTTTCGCATGCACTGGTCGTTGTGCCATTATGGTCGCAAGATCGTTCCCCCCAACAACCCTGGTTGTTATTTATACATTCAGAGAAACGGAGCGCGCAAGCTCACGCTATCAATGTTTCGCTTCACTCATCGTCTTGCAGTCAGCTCAGCTGATAGTACTCAGGCGCTGCGTACTCGTTGGCAATGTTCGTCAGGAAACTGAACTCGTTGGAGCCGCACGATCCCGGTCCCGAGTAGCCATTGGAATCACCGTAGTAGAAACTGTTGAAGTTGAGGTCGGTGTCCGACGAGCTCTGGCCGTTGTAGTGTTCGGGCGACGGGTTGTAGCTGGTCGCCGCGTTCGATGCAGTGCCGTTTTGCATCTCGTAGTAGTTTCCAGGTGCCTGCTGGTACGGCTGTTGCGGTTGTTGCTGTTGCTGCTTGCCCGTGGGAGGCGCGTACTCTGGTGTTCGGCTAGTGGCGGGGTTCAAGGAACTGCCGTTGCAGGTGATGTCGTAGTACATGCCGGTGTCACCGCTCGGCGAAGCCACCATGTTACTCGCCTCATCGGTCGGGTAGCACTCTGACGTGCGGTAGCCGTAGGGGTAGCCGCTGCCATCGCTGGGCCCGTTGTACTGCCCTTCCTCGATGCTCTCGGCCTCGCTGTTGTACGGCGCGGCACCATAGCCGACGCGCCCGTACTCCTGGCCAGCGCCCCTGTACTCGCCCACGTAACCCTGGGTTGACGCTGTCGCTTGATTCATGCCTTCCATTCCGTACATGTACGGCCTTTGCTCCTGGGACTGCTGATGTGTTGGCTGCTGAACGTTGGGCTGCGTTTGGGCCGCCTGGTGCTGAGTCTGACATGGCTGGTGGTGTTGTTGGTGCTGCTGCTGCTGTTGCTGGTGCGGATGATGCGGCTGGTGTTGCTGCGGCGATGGCTGCTGGCTCGGTGCATGGTGCATCTGCTGGTGGGCGTCCATGGAGGCGCCGATCATGTTGGCGTGCGTGGCAGCTGCGGTGGCGGCGGCTGTGGGTGCGTAGCCACATGCTTGCACCGATGCACCACCCTGGTGGTGGTAGTACATGGGTCCCGCCGCCTTGTAGCCGTGGGGCAGCACGGCCACGTAGCCATTGCTGGCCCCCGGCTGTGGTCCGACGGCGGGGCTGGCGGCTGGTGGCGAGCGGTATGCGGCCGCGCAATACGCGCCGGGCTGGCTGCCGACGCGGTGCTGGGGCGCCGAGGCGCTGCTGTAGGGTTGCTGCGCGGCGGCAATGGCAGCCGGCGCGGCGCGTTCCTGTTGCTGACCATAGTGGTTCCCGTACAGCTGCGCCGACAACTGGCACTTCGGAGAAGAAGCCACACGCGCGCTTGGACAAGGATAAGTGGCGGCCGAAGGGCTGGCCGCGTCCAGGGCACACAGGGCAGCGGCAGCAGCCGCCTTGGCTGCGGCTGCGGCGGCGGCGGCGCGGGCGGCGGGGCTGGCGGCACGACCCAGCGGGCTGGGCCGCTCGCCGCCGAAGCCGCTCTCCTTGCCGGGCGTCGGGGTCTTGTCCGAGCGGGCCGGCGACGCCAGTCCCAGCGCCGGGTGCAGGTGACCCTTGGAGTCTGAGTCCGGCTCGGATCCCGACGGCGAAGACGTGGCCGCCCTCGCCACCGGCGGGCAGCAGCCGGCGTCTCGGCCAGTCTCCTCGACGCCCTGCGACGGGCTGGCGACCGGAGCCACCTGCGGCAGCCGCTGATCGCCTTCGGGCGCCTCGCCCTCGGAGGTGCCGTCGCAGCCGTTGCCCTTGTCGTCCTGCTTGCTCATCATCGTCTGCCGCTTGTGCTTCATCCTCCGGTTCTGGAACCACACCTTGACTTGACGCTCGGTGAGGTCGAGCGATGCGGCGATCTCGATCCGCCGAGGCCGACACAGGTACTTGTTGAAGTGGAACTCCTTTTCCAACTCCAGAAGTTGCGTGTTGGTGTAGGCGGTTCGCAGACGTCGCGGCATTCCGTTTTCTCCGTTTTCTGCGTAAGAAAAAAAAGAACATATGTAAGTTTGCCACATCTTTTCGAGTGTAACCAAGAAATAGAACAAAGTTTATATAAGCTAATGGACAAGGAATCACGAGTAATTTGTCTGCGCTAGCAACGCTAAGATTACATTAAAATATGCAATCCCATTTTGAGCGTAGTGATGACCATGGTGTCTCGCGAGATCAGCTGGCTTGTTGTTTCGTTCATCGAGTGACAAGAAGACATGTAATAAGCACATACAGCGCCTCAACAAACGGCGTGGTTGCTGAGAAAACTGTTGCTATCATCGATTAATTCACTTTGTTATGTGTATTAGTGTAATTGAGGGTAATTGTAGAGGAGATTGTTTACAAAGCAAAAACAAAGTAAAGAACAAAAATGCCCTAAATAAATAAACCTAACAAGAAATTACTCACACTTCTGCAATGCCAGCTTGATGTATAGTCAGAATACATTACATTAGGCACTTGTATAAGATAATTTTAATGTAGCTATACAATATTAGGGAAAGCTATCTGTAATGCTTGGAGTGTGCTATGGAAAGTGGTTTCTCTGATGTACGAGGAAGACAATTACAGCAGTTCGTTGTGCGCTTCTCTAAAGCGACTAGATTGCAAAAAACGTGAATGCGTACCCAGCTACGTATGAAAAACGTGCAGCTAAAGTATTCGTTCACTGGTTTGTTAAATTTCTCATCTTTTATTAATTCTGCGTGTCTTGTTATGCACTTTCGCTTACGCACTTTCACATACGCATGCACTTAATTTCACTTATGCACGCAATTCATCGCAATTCATTGGTTTGTCTCACGTTTAAAAAACTTTCTCGGTGGCCACTACACGTCACCATGCGAAATGTATAGACCGTCCAACCTAATTTCGTCTGCTGAAGTCTTCTTTGGAAACCTTGCTTGCCGAATCATTGCCGTTCGTGCTTAACGAAGTAGCAAGACCCGTAATGAATCTAGTTCACTGCATCGTAATTACGAAGAGAGAGAGAGAGGAAACTTTATTAGAACTTGGCCGGCAGCTTGGTCTTGGTGGCCTCAGATGGCGGCGCTGAGTCCCTGAACTCGGGCGGCATCTTCGGCCTGCCGGACAGCCCAGAGCTGGTCGTTGAGCATGCTTTACATAGATCGGTAATGTGTAAGTGCGGGTAGCAGTGGCGTAAGACGACCGGGCTGGTGTAAGAGTGGGTTTGTAGTAAGCGATAGCTTACGGCATCGTGTCTGTTTAATTGGTCATGCGGTGGCGGGAACTTTCGCCTTTCCAGTCTGTAGTGTTGCGTAATATCTCGGAACGTGATGAGACGATCACCCCACGACCATTGTGGTCTGTGTTGTCGCTGCGTGTCTGTTAAAGTGTCTCAATCCGGCAGATCAGAAGCCCCGTTCTCGGGAGCGGAGGCGGCGGCCACGGAATGTGCCGCGTCTCGGCGAGTGAGACCTCGAGCCGCGGCGTGGGCCGCCTCGTTGCCCGGAAGCGGGACATCGGTGTGTGCCGGGGTCCAAAGGAGGAAGACTGTTAAATTTTGTTGTGGCGATCGCGACGCTGAGTCACCATCACCGCACCTCTTAAGGATGCGGGCCGCTTCCCGCGAGACGCGGCCGCGCGCGAAGCCGCGGATTGCTGCCTGCGAGTCGCTGATTACGATCGTAGCGTTCGGCACCGTGGCGATTGCTAGGGCTATCGCGGCTTCTTCGGCCGCCTCCGTATGTCCCGTGGTCACCGTGGCGCTCGCGAGGCATTTGCCCGCACGGTCAACGACCGCAGCGGCGTGTGCGTGTCTCCCGTCCCCATATCTCGCGGCATCTACGTACACAACTTCGTCGCTAGTGCCGTACTTCTTTTGAAGGTCACTAGCTCGCTGGTTACGGCGCCCGACGTGGTGCGTCGGGTGCATATTCTTAGGAAGCGGCGGAACAATTAGGCGGTCGCGAACCGAGGCAGGAACATCCGCTTTTTCTCCCTGCTGAGTGTGGTACCGGATGCCAAGTGACTCGAGGATGTGTCGACCCGTCTTAGACCCCGACAAGCGTTCGTTTTGCGAAACGACATGGGCCTCAATTAACTCGTCGAGTGAGTTGTGCAGTCCAAGTTCTAGTAACTTTTCAGTGCTCGCATTCAGTGGAACTCCAATTGCTCTCTTGAAAGCCTTTCGTATTATACATTCGATCTTGTTTTTTTCTGAGCCTAGCAATTTGAGGTTGGGGGCAACGTATGTTATACGGCTTATTGCGTACGCCTGCACTAGACGGATCGCGCAGTGTTCGCGCATACCAGTACGTCTGTTCGTGATACGACGTAAGAGTCGGATCGTGTCGTCTACCGAACGACGTAGTCTTCGCACCGTCTCACCAATATGGCCGTTTGCCTGCAGGTGTAACCCCAGAATTCTAATTTTGTCTACGTGTGGAATGGGAGTGCCATCTGCCAATAGAACGCTTATTTTGTAGCACTCCCTTTCCTCGTCGCGCGGGGTTTTGCGACCTCTACTTGTAGGTTTGTAGATTAGAAGTTCCGACTTGGTTGCCGAGCATTCGAGGCCCGTTCCTCGCAAGTACTCCTGAACTTCGTCTACACCTGCCTGGAGCGTACGCTCGACGTGACCATCACAACCTCCGCCGGGAACCCAGAGGGTGATGTCATCCGCGTAGATACTGTGATACAATCCTTGTATGCCTAATAATTAGTAATTACGAATGAATATTTTTTTTGAAATACGTGCCTCTCGTCGCAGTTGTCTCCTTCACCGTGGCTAAATCAAAGCTTGAAGACCCTGCTAAATCTCACGCGGAGAACAGTCCTCCTTGTCTTCTCTATGCTCAAGCCTCGGTTTCACGCCTTCGCAAACACGAAGTGAGCGCGCAGCTTGCACCGTGCTCGCCTTTCATCTTACGTCTCAACAAGCTGATTCCCAGGTAAAGTGGACGCAACGATACCTGTTTTCTTTGGTGCAACTGAAAGCTTACCGGTGAAAATGTCTAATCGTGGAGCGGTAACACGGAAAGCGCCATTAAGCATTTTTAATCATTTCTTTTAATCTGAAGTAAACAAGTAGTAAAGACGCAACACATTCTGCAAACAGTGGTAAATATAAGGGCGATGCCGGGTCGCGCTCGTGGGCCGCCATTTGCTGCCCATGTGTACACGCATACAAATCTGACCACAGCAGTTTCGTCGGAAAACAATCGGACAGAGTTTCACACCAACTTCGAAGACATGGAAACGGAAAGGGATCGTGCAAATTTCCTGGGAAAAGTGATAACGATTGCGGGTACGCACTTTGAACAGCTTAACCTAGGGTGCTTTGACTTTGTGCTATTACGGGGCACTCTGCTGTCTGCACTCTCGTTTCTGTAAATCTCCTTGCATTTCTCCCATTTTATCTTCCCCTCTCTCTCTCTCTCTCTCTCTCTAGATCTAGCTTTCAGTTTGCTGCGCAGTACATCGTTTCTCCCGGAACATTTTTTTTTCATTCTTGAAATTAATCAATAACACCACCTACAACGGATATGATACAACTCAGCAACAGCTGCTCCACAGTTTCTGCCTTCCCATCGCCTTCCCTTCCTAGTTTCTCCCTTTTTTATTTTGCAGCGTTAGTATACGAATCCCTTTAAAAATTCTGGGGTGAAAAATTAACGCGTGGTCAAATCGGACATGCAGAAAAGTCGAGACTTCCAAGTAAAAAAAAAACGGCACTACTTGCATCCATAGAAAAAAAGGCGAAAAAACATTCGAAGAAAAAAATCGGTTCCCGAACCGTGGCTGCAAGCGCTCTGTGCCACGGACGGCAAGCGATCTCCGATCCAGCTGGTGTCGCTTGGCGTCCCTATTCACGGTGCTAGCAGCGTAGACACAGCCTTGATAGAAAAATAAGGTTAAAAAAGAGTGGCGGGAAAACTTTCATGGGGAAGGACGGAGAGGCCGAAAGCGCACCTGGTCCCACGCGGGTGGAGCTCATTCCCCATAGGCCAACGCTGAGGGTGCTCTGGATGTGTTTAAAAAGTTAACAGAGATATCGAAAGAGGCCGCGGTAAAATTCGTTTTCTACCTTCCTCTGCTTTCTCTTTAGCCGGGAGAGCAACGGTTCCGAGGGAAAACAAGAAAGTAAACGGGAAGGTAGTATCGAAAGATTGGGAGAAAAGAGAAAACGAAAGCACAGATCTAGACCTGCGCAGGTCAAATTATGCACGGAGCGCTTTTAGGCGCGCGAATTCCTGATGCACGCACAAATACTCTCTGGATGTAGCTTTTTCTACTGGGCTTTCTCAAATACGCCTTGAAAAAGAATGAAGCGACTGAGAGCTGCTTTCTGCTGCTGCTTCTACGCTGCTTGTTTGTGCGCTCGGGAATGTAGGAGCGAGAGTGATAGCGCGGAAGAAAAAAGTTATAAGGGAGATAGAGACCGCGGGAGAGAGCGAAGAAGGTAAAAAAAAAAGATACAGTATTTTTAACAACCACAGCGCCAACTGAAAACCAGGGCCAGTCAACGTTCGAAGGCCTCTCGCTGGCTCTCTCTCTCTCTCTCTCTTTTTTTTTTGTCAGCCAGCGCCAAGCCCTATTTGCATTCACACGACGCTGAGTTTCCTAACGACGTAACGATCCTCCCGAGTCGACAGGAGAGCTTAAAAAAAAAAAGAAAGAAAGCTATAGGAGAGTGCGAACGGGAGGAGAGTTAAAGAGGAAAAGGAACAAAATGGGGGTTAAAAATTAAGAGGGCGAACTGTAGAACGTCGATGTAGCGGACGCGAGCAGCCATCTCTGTGTGTGCGTCGGCACCGGATCAGGGTATCTGACTTATTTCAAATGCGCGTGCGCACACAACGTGTGTAAAAAAAAAAAAAGCGTTGCTCAACGCGCTTCGCTTCTCGTAACGCGGCGCGCGAAGAGGACCGTGGTCCGTCTCCCAATCTCCCTCCTCTCCCTCCACTTATCCCTGAAGGGTAGAGAGGGAGAATGGAGAATTTAAGCTGTCGGGGAAAGGAA